GTGTGTGTGTGTGTGTGTGTGTGTGTGTGTGTGTGTGTGTGTGTGTGTAAATAAGAGGGAGAAGAAGGGGGAGAGGTAAAGAGAGCCAGAAAGTAGAGTAACTAAGTATGGGATTCTAAGGAGGTGGGTGCTAGCAGATCCTAGTTCAAAACCAGCCTGGTCTACAAAGTGAGTCCAGGACAGCCAAGGCTACACAGAGAAACTGTATCTCAAAAAACCAAAAACAACAAAAAAAGTAAGTGATTGTTGTCAGTAGTATTTATGAGTGCTAGTCTCTTAATGAATTGGGTGAGCTCAGAGGAGGAAAATAGCATGTGCATTAGTTACAACTCTGTATCAGATTCCTTTAAATCTGTGTTTTTATGATTTGTGTATGTGTGAAAGAGATGATTGGCAGAAAATATACTGATTGATATAGGTAGGTGTTCTCTTAGAGGTCTAAGATCTAATTTTGTATGTTGTGTCTAATTTTTATTACATAATGCATTTTCATCTATTCCCAGTAGAACCTCTGTATTACTGGCAACAAACTGAGGATGATTTGACAGTGACAGTAAGACTTCCAGAAAACAGTACTAAGGAAGATATTCAAGTACAGTTTTTGCCTGATAACATCAACATTGTGCTGAAGGATGTCCAGGTTTTAGAAGGAAAACTCCATTCATCTATTGATCATGAAAGCAGTACATGGACAATTAAAGAGAATGATAGGTATTTTGGTAGTTTTACATTTGAATTTTTTTTTTTATTAATTACAATTTATTCACTTTGTAGCCCAACTGTAGCCCCCTCCCTCAGTCCCTCCCAATCCCACTCACCCTCCCTCTTCTCCTCCCATGCCCTTCCCCAAGTCCACTGATAGGGAGGAGTCCATTTGACCCTAGCCTATGAGGTCACATCAGGATTGGCTGCATGGCCTGGTAAGGCTGCTCCCCCTTCAGGGGAAGGTGATGAAAGAGCCAGCTACTGAGTTTATGTCAGAGACAGTCCCTGTTCCCCTTACTCCCCTTCAGTCTCCCCTCTTGGAGACTAAACTGCCATGGGCTATATCTGTGCAGGGGTTCTAGGATATATCCATGAATGGTCCTTGGTTGGAGTATCAGTCTCAGAAAAGACCCCTGTGCCCAGAATTTCTTGGTTCTTTTGCTCTCCTTGTGGATCTCCTATCCCCTCCGGGTCTTTCTATGTACCCCTTCTTTCATAAGATTCCCTGCACTCTGCCCAAAGTTTGGCTATGAGTCTATCTGCTTTAATACTATGCTAGGTAGAGTCTTTCAGAGGCCTTCTGTGGTAGGCTCCTATCTTGTTCTTTGTTTTCTCCCTCTTCCAATGTCCATCCCGTTTGCCTTTCTGAATGCGGATTGAACATCTTAACCAGGGTCCTCCTTCTTGCTTAGCTTCTTGAAATTTTATTTTTTATGGCTTTACTTTTTAATTTTTTTCTCTCTACAGTAGGTACATTGAAGGTGAATATAATAGTTCCAACCATATTGATGTTTTTTCAGATAGACTAAAATGCTGAAACTACATAACAAATGTAATTAAGATTAAAGATACTGCTGTACTTGCTGTTTTCATTACCAGTTGTAGCTGCAGTAATGACAAAGGTGAAACTATTTGCGTGTTTCAATTTGTGCTTTTAAAACACTGTCGTTTAATTTGGTTATAAAATAATACAGCCCCATTTTTAGGTAATAGCATGAGAAATTTTCCAGTCCCACTAATCACAGGTATATCCTGCCCCCAAGTGACTGTTTGTAGCTTCCAGAAGCATGTTCTGTTTATTCTATGAAATACTTTAGTTTTCAAGGAAAAAAGTTCTGCTATATACTTGCTTTTTTTTTTGCATAAGCAAAAGTTACTTTTAGATGTTTTTCCATTAAGGGTACATGATTATTTTCAGTCCTTCATTGTGGCTTTTTAAAGTTGTGTCTGTTAATAGATCATTATTTAGTCTTCTGTTGAGCAATTACAATATTTCTAGCCTTTTACTACAGTGAATAATTATGTTATTTTGCATGTATAGGAAGATAAATTTCTTCCTACAAAGGATTAATATTTCTTTCAGAATTTTGAGAAACAAATTTTACTTCAGTATAAATTAATCATTTATATTTCTTTTGTGTCTTCTGATTTGAAACACAAAAAAATTAAAGCATAAAAGAAATACATGATAATTAAACTTTAAAATGTTTGTGCTCTTCAGAATAGAAAAGTCAAATGATGTGGTAGAAACCTTATATCCTAGTATTTGCCAAGCTGAGAGAGGAGAATCAGGAATTGAAAGTCAACCTCAGCTTTTTCAGGTCTAAGGTTAATCTGGGTTACATGTCTCAAAACCTGTCTCAAAAATCAAAATCAGTTTTAAAAATTTGAATGTTTTTCCCATTCTCTAAATGCTATATTCTCTAAAAATGTATTTAAGAGATAAAGAGACAAGATATCAGAAGCTTGAAAAGATCTCCCATGATCAGTGTGATTAACATAGTGAAAATGGCCATCTTACGAAAAGCAATCTACAGATTCAGCACCATTCCCATTAAAATCCTAACAATTATTTACAAACCTTGAAAGAACAACTCAACTTCATATGGGGGGAAAAAAGCAAAAAAAAAAAAAAAAAACAAACAAACAAACAAAAAAAACCAGGATAGCTAAAAGAATCCTGGTTCTTTCCAATAAACTGCCAGAGGCCATCCTTGATTTAAACTCTACTGCAAGGCTATAGTAAGTTAGTTGGATAGGTAGATAGATAGATAGATAGATAGATAGATAGATAGATAGATAGATAG